GGATTTTTTTTTTTTTTTTTTTGGAGAACGGACGAAAATCGGTGCGCGCGCAGGATGTCATCCATAAAATTAAAAAAGTGTGGCCTAATGCTAGTTAAGGGTTCAATGAAATATATATTTGTGGTGAGTCAGCTTTTTTGCATTTAATTATTGTATTGTATTAACATAACTTTTTTGTATCAATTTCAGTTAAAATGCGAAAATGTGGTATGTATACTTGTTACTGAAATATCCAAGTAACTTTGGAAGGAATCTTTTATCAGATACCTGTTTAAAGAGCTTAAATAAACTGATATCTGTCAACAGAAAAATAAATATTATAGTATTATTTTAAACACGGGTTTGCATATTAATTTTAAGTGCTTCTTTCTCACATGTATTTGTTTATTTCATAAGCTTGATTTGATATGTGTTTATTTGCAGTGGAGGCTAATTATAAGGATAGAGAATTTAGGTGAAGAAGAGCTACTTTTAGAAAAACAGGACTATAGAGTTTCATTTGTTGGGCCAGATTCACCACTCCAAGTCAGAAGGGTGCTATTTGACAAAGTGTTTTACCACAATAGTGTAAATACCTTTATTTTATTTATTCATGTTTGAAAACTGCCTATGTGCCTTGTATACCAAGTTACACTTTAATACATTTTATACACTTAAAGGGATTACAACTCTTCGTTTTGGCCAAAAAATGAATTTTCCTGGAGTAAACTATAATTTTCTAATAATAACCAATGGTTAATGAATCCATTTTCACTTTCAAAGTGAGTCCCCATTTTTTTTCCAAAGTTTTTTTTTGTTATAATCTCTTAAGAGATTATAACAGGATATAGCCATCAATGGAGGTCATGTGCATGGTCTAAAGACAAGCTCAGATATCAGAATAATAGCTGTAACTGCCATATTTGTGGTAAAACAGAATATATTATATTTCTATGAGTTGTTCACAATGTTTTTATTGTGAAATATAGATATCATACGAAGAGTTATTATCCCTTTAAATACATACGTTCAGTCATTTGTATTTTCACGAAAAAAAAACTAAAGAAATCATTTCAGAGGAATCATTGAATAACAAATTGTTTGTGAAGATTATTTATTTCTTTTTAAGCATATTAAACCTTGGCTTACAAAGGAAAGGCCTGCGATCCAGTTTAACAATACAATTATTGACTCCAATTCATCAGGTGAAATTTGGTAAGTACCACTTCTGTATATAAATGAAAATATGTTTAATAATTATGTAATTATGTATATAATAATTATGTAGTGCTTGTGGTTCAGTTAAGTTTGTAAATTTGTAATTATTAAAGAGCATTCATTGTTCCATATTATACATCTTCTTAATGCTTTTTACATCAATCACACTGAACTTGCACACATTATATGTTTTCTTTTTCATCTTTCAGGGGAACTATCACATTCAAAAGTGATAAAGGAAGCATATTAGACTTCAAAGTACCAAAAATTTCCATGGAATCCAGATAGGGGCACTTTACATTGTATGGAACACTTGTGCTTACAAATGGCACTATTTAAAAAACATTATTGTACCTGACAGTCTGTTTCTACCCTATTTATATTGACAAAATGCTGCACTTATTGTTAAGTATCAAGCCAAAATTGTTACATTTGATTCATATTCATTTTTAAAAGAAGTAACACATACAGCGGTAGCAATGTTATGCAGATTGTTGTTTAACATTTAAAAGTTACAAAATGAATGAGTCAAAAAGGTGTTTTTGTTTTTTCATATATCTTGAATAACGTGGCAGCTTGAATACAAATGCAAACAGGCTTCAATGTCATTATAACAGATATATTTCAAGTAGTAAGGTCAAATAAACAATTTTTTCAAAACAATGAGCTTTCAGCATGAGCTTTTAAACATGAAATATATCATGTTACAACTGAGACCTGTTTATTGTAAAGATAATTTGGCCTTGTGCCCACTTATTGTAAAAAATTCTTGCAATTTAACCTTTGCTCCCTTCCTCCTTCCGCAAAAATTGCATGTCACTAAATTTCATGCTTTTGCTCAGTTTGTTTCTAGGAAATCATGGGTTCTCAAAAGAAACACAGGAATTTTCACTTTAATCATGTCTCCATTTTTCTTCTCCATTGTGTATGCTCCCCTAAAAAGAGAAATATGATCAAAAGTTGGATACACAAGTTGTAATTATGAAAATAGTTTCATTGGATCTCAGTTTTGATAGTCAAAAAAGTTTTCATTTATGATAGATCCACATATTTGATTTACCTGTTGACTGTTTCGTCTGTTCACTCTGACAGACTCGGTCACAACTACATAGAGCAGTTAAAGAAAAGGTTTGGTTATGAGATGAGGCCACAATACTTACCACATGTAACCATTGCTAGTGTGGAGTTCCACATAACTTCTGTACTGAAAGGTTGGCCTGTTCATGTTAAGTATAGGTTCCTGAATTAAAAAAAAATCATATTTGAAGTACACAATCATATTCATTTCTATTTTTGTCTTCTGAAATCAACGGCCTCAATGATAATGGTTATATGACAAGCCTTACCTGCCCTACAACCCCTTTTCCATTTACAGTTTGATTTGGACCTCCTGATATATGCCAATGACGCGACCGGAGCTGAACCTGCTCTTTGTTAGTGTTCTCTATCCTTATACAATAAACCCAGATCTGTAAAAGAGTACAATAAGATTACTCTTAAGTTGTTATTAAACAGAAAAATTAAAATTATCATTTCACAACCTTTACTCAAATGTAAAAAAAAAAATAGTTTAACTCATTCAGTGTGGAACTTCCTCCACAATCAGATCAACTCTAGTAGTACTAATGATACTTACTAATATCAAAATTTTGCAGATACATTAGTAATTGTTCCAGATAATTACATATATGTTACCTATATACTTACATATTTGTTTTGGTCATCTAGTATAGGTATAACATCCTAAAATGGTTTAAATAAAGAATGTGTAGAAATTTAGCCTTTGTTTGAAGTCTTTGCTGTACTTTAAATATAACAATACTTGCTGAAATACGAAGAAATTTCTTCTATCACATGTGCTTCATATCAAGGTGAGTTAGATATATGATTGTTTAATATTGTCATTATAATCATTATGACATTGTTCTACAATACCAATGACAAAAATGTCACTGTGAAATAAACTATCAATATCACACAGGGTAAAAACATACCACAAGGGATGGCATAACTGTGACCTTAATTCCATGAGTGCAAGCCACATAGACATTTAAAGGCTCCTGTAGGTGCATTTTACATTTTTTCTTCCAGTTATTTAGATGAGCTCTAGGCCTACAGTTAGGGACTGAAAATGAAAGGAAAAGATCAAATATTAAATTGTTTACAGCAAATCTATTATAAAAAAACCAGTGATAACTCATGATTAATAAACAAATATGGAGCTTCTGGAGATGAAGGAAGATTGTAGTTATGTCAGGCGAAGATTTAAAAATTCCAAATTTTTATTCTGCCTTACCTTCTTTGAAATTGTATGTGAAAAAATTCTCGAATTCCGCATGTTCTACGGGCCAATCTGACACTGTTGATGTGTATGGTAACATGTCTTCATGGGCAACAAAGCCAAAGCCTGTAATGGACACGACACCAAACATTAACACACTCTTTGTGCCTTTGATGTGATCATATCATCAATATGAAAATCTTAAGAACTGGTCTCATATTAGAAATGACTGATAAAGCTTAGGTCACAACACAGTGTTATGATCTATATGTGGCCATGCCACATCACCAACTTGAAGGAACAGAGGGAATGCCTTGACTACCTATGATGAGCTAAACTTAATCAGATGCCACACAAAGCATTGTAAATGAATGCACACTGACACATTCACTAAGTAGTAATATAAATATATTGCAATTATGTCCTAAGCAGACTTTTACAGGTAATCATACCATTGAGTATCTGTGGTTTCAATTCACCCTTTTGAGCCATAAAAATACATTCTTCATTGCCAGCCTGCAAAAGACAAAAGTAGTTCAAATTAATAATGATTCATAAACCATTTCTACTATTGAACCATTTTGATTCTGTATCCACAAATTTCCAATTCAAAACATAAAAACATTATCATCGCTAATTTACCTAAAATACGTATTCAAAGATTTCAACAGATCTTACATTATAAGAAAACTTACCCCTTCCATACTTGTATCCTCCAGGTCTACAAGCACTTGGTAATAAATTTCTTCTGCTGGCAGTTTTATAACATCAAGACTTGTATAACAAAGAAATTAATACATTTACTTGAAACTGCAAAATTATTTTTTTTATTTTGCACTGAATATCAAAGCAACTCAATTCATCAATTGGACATGTCATGCTACAAGTTGATTAAAATTTTATTTAAAATGCCATGCTTTCGAAAAGAAAAAAAAACCCACAGCTTCCAGCAAATGATGCATCAGAAAAATGTAATTCCAAATATCATTTACTGTAGACAAGCATGTAATAACTATGTTCCTACCTGCCATCTGGTGTTACAGATATATCTCTGTCATCATAAATCTTTGCCTGACATGGATATAAAACCACTCCTCTGTATCCAAGTTTCTTGTGGATAAATAGCTAGAAAACAAGTTTTTTTTTAAACAAGTTTCGTTAAAACATAACTCCTCTGTAGCTAAAAACAATTAACATCCCGTTTCACATACAGAAATTTTATCATTACTATTACTATTCACAATGCGGCCTTACAGCTACTATTACGTACTGCAAGATAATCGTCCTGTGGAGTACAGAAGCAAATTACTGAGATGTGATATTCAAACATTAAAAGTGAAATACTTGATGTCATGCATGGTTTGGAAAAGTCTCATTATTATGCATATGGCTGTAAAGTCACAGTTGAAAGCGACCAAAATATTAAGAATTCAATTTTCAAGAAGGATTTGAACAGGATGATGTTAGAAATTCAAAAATATGACATCAGCGTCAAACATGTGCCAGGAAAGAACAATCCAATAGCTGATGCTCTTTCCAGATTATCCTCATGCAAAGGCGTCACCATTCAAGGTGTAGATGTCACTCTACACAAGATTGACATGCAGCTAAATGCTAGCCCTACTAAAACAGATACTAGATGAAACATCATCTACTCCCTTCATAATTTCATTATACAAGGATGACCCAGTACAAGGTTGGAGTATCCTGCACCTCCAAGACTTTTGGAACTGCTGTGATGAATTATCAGTTATGATTCGTAGTGACTAATAGTTCAAATATTCAGTTAACTACTATGGATACATAGACAAACATTAAAATGCAAGTATCTGGTGTCTTCAAGTCACCGATATCTAGTGTTTTTAAAGTGGCAGTGTAACATAAACAAGTCTGACAGCAGGGGCCTTTAAGGTCACCTCCTAGGAACAACGTCTTGTATATATCTCAGCACATATAGAAATGAAATCAGTTGTAGTAGTTTCCATTTTTCTTGAGAGTTGTTCCATATGATTCTCCTCATGATATTAATTAGTGTCCATTTAAACAACCCGTGAGACCATTTCATTGACAGTCACCATCTCAAATCATGAACATTTGATTTAATATTATAGATGGATAACACAATGTACATTAATCCTATACATAGCTATAATTACTTTTTAAAAAAAATTAAATATTGTATACTCAAACAGTTATAATGACAATCACCTGCCCACTGTTGTACTGTCCTTTGAGATCATTTTGCTGATTTCCAATATGGACACCGTAACTGTAATATATAAAAGTTTTAAAAAAATCATTATTATTATTAACTAATTAATAAAAAAAGTTTTGAATAACTGACTGCATTTTGTCTCTACTGCTAATCATGATGTAATTGCCTTTGACTAAACGTGCACTAACTCTGGAATATGAGGACCCACAGAGATTGTCAAGAAGTGGATATTCAGAGGTATTTAAGGGCCTCAAGGTTCACTTGTCGTTATGAGGTCTTACCAGCTGTAAGGCTTAGGGTACCGTGAGAATGCAGGGCCAAAAACTGAGGCTAGTAGAACCGCGGACAAAATTCCACATACCGTATTTTTGCATAGAGAATCGTACCTTATTTGCCTTGAAGTGCATAACTTGTTGTTTTGTTTGAAGGCAAAAGTAATGCTTTTCGCGACTTTTCGCATCATCGTCCCTTGCAGATATTTGGGACAAAGTCAAAGTTCTTCTGGTAAAGAAGAGCAAAATAAAGTACACAAGTTAAATCAAGGACAGGCTGAGGCGAAACTGTTGTTTGATTTATTAATTATCATGTAAAATCTAAAGGAAAAAACATGATTTAAGTATTTATCTTAAGCTCAGGGATTTTGTAAATTAATGGTTGGGGTAAAACAGTCACACGTGACTCCGAAAAAATACGTTGGTCTTGCCTTGGGCATAACACGTGTATTTGCTCTCGCCTGCCCTCTATAAACCGGAAGTTCTGCTATCCATGTGGTCACAGCAAAATGGTGAAGCACAAGAAAAAGGTATGTTTATCAAAGTGGTGGAGAAATTGTTATTTGAATTATCTAAAGCAGTCCTTACTTACTGATCGCACGTTTAACAGATTATCATAGAGACTTGTCCAGTATTTACATGTACTGTAGTTTCTTGCCAAGATGCCCTCAGTACGCTGTACAGTACTGAGGGTTTAACATGCTTACCGTGTAAGTACATGTACATGTAGGCTAGGACCTTACATTGAAGCTGTGTGCCCCAATGGTGGACCCATTAGAAAACAACACTTAACTAGGGTTGCTGGAACCTAAACAGATTTTAAGTGAACAGTGAATTTAAACACAATGTATTTTTCCTTTATATTAATGTTTGTACATACATGCATTTATACTATATTCCATTTGATTAAGCAACACCACCTTTGTTAATGCCCATCATTTGTTTTATTTCCAGTTTGAGAGTGGTGCAGCTACGGCATATGTGTCTAGAAACCGGGCACTGAAAAAATTACAGCTGTCATTACCAGATTTTAGGTGAGGAAATAAGATTTGAAGTCTCAGTATCTTGACATACTGTAATTTATTGAAGGTACACTTTGATATTATTTGTTAAAGATTCCTGAGAAAAACTCATGCTTAATTAATTTTTTGGGGTTAACAGTATTTCTTCTTACTAGTCAACCTTTAATCCCACTTTTCTGATACTCGCTATAACTCAGTAACAATCTGGGAAAACAGCAAAGTCCTTATCCCATGCTTAAGTAATGTTTTTTTTTAATTCCCCCATCCCTTCCATCTCAATTCAAGCACACATTTTGCATTACTTGAAACTCTGTCAGGACTGAAGATAGGCATCAAGATTGTGAGGAGGGGGTAGATTTGATTATTATTTTGCCATATTCATTCAAGTCATTTATCACATGGTTTAAAATATGAGCAATAAGTATTAATTACTTGTCCTCAGGTAACTTCAACAAGAAATGGTTTATAAATGCACTTGACATGTGTTTGAAATTGTACACTTTGCCTCTTTATAGTTTGTTATGAAGTCAAGATGATGATCCCAATAATGGGAGTGATGATGATTGAATCCTGTGATACACATCTTTTAGTTATTTAACTTAATACATTTAATTAAAGAGTAAATTGTAACATGTGTCCTAAGGTAAGAAAAAGTAATGGCCAAGCTCATCTTCACAATGGCACATGTATATTGTTCCAGGCGACTATGCATCTTAAAGGGCATTTACCCCCATGAACCCAGGCATAAGAAGAAGGTGGGGAAGGGCAGCACAGCCCCTAAAACCTACTATTTTTACAAGGACATACAGTTCATGGCACATGAACCTATCATACAAAAGTTTAGAGCATTTAAGGTAGGTGNACATGAAAACCACATTGGTAATGGTATGGATTCCCACATTGGTAATGGTATGGATCCCGTACATAATAAAACATCATCTTTTTGTTTCTAGGTAATGATCCAACCAAGGAAGAGGTAATGGAACAGTTGGTTCAGCTGCAGATAGACCCAGCCAAGCATCATGAGGTGCCCAGAACAGATAATCCAACACACAACACACAACGCAGTCCTTCCATGCATGCCATGCACAACAGGACCAGGAAGTATGGAGATGCTTGTGAGTATAAACAAATTATCACTGCCTATTTACAATAATATTATCTATGAATCCCAGTAGAAAAAGTACCATCAGAATTTGTTTAGACATGTCTAATAAAGTTCGATAGGAAATGAAGGAAAATAGTCGGACATTGACCCAGCATAACCAGAAAAGTGAACATTGGAGTAAATGGGCACAGATACCAGGAAATACTCTAAAAGTTGCAATAAAAACTATTGTTTAAAACAAGTTATATAAATGTATCCCAGTATTTTCCATAGTAAGGTCTGAGAAATTTCCACCCAGCGGGCAAAATATGTTGTTTTAACATTGAAACAATGTTGAACCATGACGTTGATAAGACGTTGGATAAACATTGGATTTGAAAGCTGACTCAATCTCAGATAACAACGCTGTATCAATGTCAGATAACAACATTGTATCAACCCCAGTTGTTAGACAACATTCTTGCATGAAAAGATATTGAAATGACCTGAGGGTAGGGTATAAGAGTATGGCTTTTAAGTTAAAATTTCCAAGGTTTAGATTAATATATATATATATATATATATATATATGTAACAAAGTCACAGTCACCTCAACCTGCCTATGTATAACAGGTTACCAAGAACTGTTAACTTTATTAATTCACTCCATCACATTTACAGGAATTATTCATCCTAGTGTTAGCAAACCTTGCAAGGAATTCAGTTTATTGGAATGTATTTCTGAATAACAAGTTAAGAAAATTCACTAGTTCACTAAAGACACAAAACAACTGTCACTTTTACTTTTAACACTTATTTTGATTATTTTGATAAAGTTAGTTACAGTATTGATAAACAAAGTATCACGTTTTCAACAATTAATATTTTAAAATATAATCCATGTCTGCAAGGTTTTGTCAATGACCAAAATACAACGTTGAGTCAACGTCACATTATGACAGTGTTTCGACGTGGCTGGATCAACGTTGATTTTACGTTGAATTTAGGTAGATCAACGGCAATTCAATGTATCAACCTGTTTTCAACGTTGATCCAATGCAACTGTGCCTGCTGGGCAGTATTTCCTACAGTACTTAATCTGATAATTCCCTGCTATTTTTTCACTATTTACAGTCTTCACTTGTTTCAAAGCTTTCAAATGATGTGGGTGAACATTTTGATTGGGTGTAAGTAAGCTCAGCACCTGTTCTATGAATTATTAGTGCCATCAGCATGAGTTTTAGACTGCATTCCCAGAGATTTAGATCGATCCATCTGGATCGACCTAACTCCCTGGGGGTTCACGCTAAATTGCAGTCAGCCAAGCGCGCACCATAGTGAATTACCCCCTTACAGCTTTTAGTAGGCGGGACAGACATTTAAGCCTGTTAAGCTGACACCAATCTAATGAGACTCCCTAGGAGGATAGATCGATCTAAATATCTATGGGAATGGGGTCTATAAGGGTATACACATGGTTTTAGTCTCAACTCGTCCTGTCTGCTGGCTCTGTTGGCTCCCGTCACAAAAAAGTCACTGTTACCACTCCTCCTCACAAATGGTAGGGAATCCTTTTTGCGTTCCGCATAATTGGCCTTATTTTTCAAGTGTGATGCATTATTTGAGCCCAATATTCTACGTGAAACGCGATTCAGGAATTCTTGGTGATTGGTGATTGATGTGAATATATCTTTGTTATTGGTGATTGAGTTGTTTTAATTCTTGGTGATGGGTTATTAAGGGGGGTATTGCCTACCCTCCTCACAGACTACAAGGGCCTATGTCTCATCTCTTGGAATTAGGTCACATATAATTTCAACTTAGTGCATAGGTGTGATGCTTATGGCAATGCACCCTTGTCAAAATTTTCTAAAATTGTAAAAATGCTTATTATCTCCCAAACTGAAGCATATTTAAGGAAAGTTACTGTCATAGGCTGATGGAAAGTCATTTGTGGAAATTTTAAATATGACCTTTTATTGACCTTTAATTTATGTTTCAAGGTCAAAATTTTGTAAAACTTTCAAATTTATTTGAGAAAATACTTTGTGCAATTTTCAGAAACTGTTTAGACTTTTATATTATTGTGAGAAGTTACACTTGGGTCTGCTTTCATCTTTATGTGTTTGGGGTCAGTCAGTCCATTTTTACAGGGGAAACAGTCAGTAAATGCCGAAACTGAAAACTCTAGCTTTTTAATTCTGGAACTGTGAAACCCATGGCCAGAGACCTCTTGTTTGTTGCATTCTGTAGAGCTTATCTAGTACAGCACTGGATGTGGTGTCAGTTTTTGCTTTCCATATGGTTTAGCAGAGATACACCCATAACTACTATTGAATTTGAGTAGGAAATTATATACAGAGCTCTAAAAGAGAAAGTCCATGGACTTGCCTAGGTCCTGCAGGACCAGATATTGTACTTTTTCCCCATCTGCGCCCTTTCTTGACAATAGAAAGGGGAGAATCGATAACAATGGAACCATAGCTGGAATCAAATCTTGGAGCATTACACAATTTGGCACATGCCTTACACATTCATCACTTAATTGGAGGTCAGTAGCAGTACAACTGTGCCTGGTATCACACAGTAAGCACCACCTGAAGAGTAGACTTTCTGTGCCAACTTACTCTTTACCCTATTATTTGTTTGCATAAAATTTTGTTTATAAAACCACACCTGTTGAAAAGAGACTTTTTTAACGCATATTATGTTCATTAATAATTAAATAAAATTCAATAATTTGGCTTTCATTTAAGATCATATTTATTCAAAGTCAGTTAGCATTAATAAAGCAGAGGCCTTATCAATGGATTAGGCATTTACTTACACTACCCGCAGATTGTTTAGCATTAATGCCCATATTAACCACATAACCCACGAATTAACCAGCACACCGAAGAAGTATTTACCACTACCAAAGCTGATGAATGTTAGTGCTAGGAATCACTCTGGTAGTGGTAAATACTTCTACAGTGTGTTGGTTAATTTGTGGTTTATGTGGTTAATATGGGGGTTAGTGCTAAAAGATCTGTGGGTAGTGTTAGCAAATGCATAATCCGTTTATAAGGCCTGAGCAATGTCAAGTATGGTAAATCTCCCCATGAAAAGTGTGACAAGCCACACTCCGCACACTAGATTAACAGTCTTGAGAAAGCCGTGACTAGTCAAAACAAGGAGTTGAATAGGTTTGTATTTAATGTTTGTGTCAAGCAACACATTCCTCACCTCTTGATAATGGAGTGGAGTAATCATTACAATAAACAATCAAAAGGAAATTAGTTTAGAAGGCTCTCTCAGGATCAACCCTTTGCTTATTAGAAGCAAAATAATTCATTTTCCTCCTTTTGTTAAACCTTGAATTAGGCTTCAAATTTTTGTATAGAAGTGTGAAAGGTCTATAGGCAGTGATATTGAGATGCTGTTGAGATTTATGAACATAGACAAGTACTGGTACATGTCCTTCACCTACATGAACATGCAAATGTGCTACTTTTCCTCCCGTTGTCTACTATATTTTTTAGGTGGATCACATGTGTTTAAGTGCATGACCTTGTAGTTTGTATTTCTGTTTGTGACAGCAGTTATTCGGTCAGAGTAACACAAAATATGGCATATATCTTTCTCAGTACATGTGGAAGTCAAGTTGTCTAAAAACTGATCACTTATATAGACAAGGTTTTGGGATTGAAATAAGTACTACTACTACTGTTTATTCAAGACAATTACATGATGTACATCCAATTTTTGTTAAACAACTTATTGGGTGATTTACATACATCTGTCATGTTTCAATTTTTCTTGAATTCACCTGCCAATAAAAATTAATTTGTAAAAACTTGGATACATGACCTCATAGTTATATTAATTTCATACCATACCACAGTACTCTTCATTGTCGTTATTTGTTACACCGGACTTTTGGAAACCTAAAGTACAAGGCGCAATTCTACAAAAGGCACTTTCTTGTGGAGTTGTTGTCTTAAATCTACTTTTACAGCTGGATATGAATGCATGAAATGGGTTTTTACATAGATTTACTTAAAGGACAATATATAGACACATAAAAATCCATTTCTCAAATTTTGAAGATTCAGCACTCGATCTATACACTAGAGGTATGTTTTAATCGATCCCCGCCATTTAAAAATTATAAAAACAATCTATTAGTAGAAAAAAAGTGTTTTAGTAAACCTCACCTCAATATGCATAAATGAAGCAACAGATCTGGGTCACGTGGTACTGTGACGACAATCTCAGCAGACAAACGACATTGATTCACCGTTGAATCAATGTTAATTTTGGTGGATCAACGTAGAATCAATGTTGTTTGCCTGCTGGGAATGAGGATAAAGGTCTATTAGACTTAACTGAGCTGCATGGTGCATACAGACAGAATAGTTTAGGAAAGTTGTGTTGAACAGAGTAGAGCAATTTTCTTTATGCCTCAGTGTGTTGCCGTGGGATTCACCAAAATTGCAGCACTCCTTGACAATCTTTCTTTGTCTGTGACGGTCTTCCGTGACTTACTTACTAACTTCGGTGACAATAGTTGTGATGCTCGTGATCTCGGTCACCTCAGGTGTTTTAGATCATATCAAAAGCTGATAGTCTTTTACATTAACTGTCATCAGTTGGCAAGCTTACTAATTGCTGATGCATTTTAAATGCATTGTAGTTGACCAAGAGCTCGTCAACAATAAAACCTGTTAATTATGCACCGCCAGGTAATAACAGGTATCAAACTCGTCTTGGTGGGCTTTCATATTTTTCAATATTTCTCATTTATTTCATGGGGTTATTTTATTGGTATTTGTAAATGACGTTAAATATCAATATTTAAACAATTAAGATCAAACACGGTCGCGAACATTAATAAAAGAAATTGCTCTCAGGGTATCTTGAAGCATGCGTATGCCCAGGCATTGCTTCCATGGAAGAAAACGTGTTGAGGAAAAACAGGAAAAAGAGCGTGTGGCACACTGAATATTTTGGTATTTTTACAAACTAATAATATCTGCTGAAGGCTACCTGGACACCTGAAGTAAGTAACTCTAACACAAGTGAACAAT